CCAGCCTTCACTGTGACCTCAGGGCCAGCTAGTCAGCCAGTGTGTACAACAAGCCAACCTCTGCCCCCAAAAGACTTACACTCCAGGAAAGACCCACCACACAGCAGGCACAGGCAAGCACTTTTCCAGACCGTGCTCTAGAGCCCCAGATACCAGTGGAACATCACGGTCACCTCCAATAGCAAACACCAACTGCATGCAACAATGCACTAGGCATTTCCTACAGGACAGGGCCTGGGGACATGGGCTGCAGAGCTGGTCAGCTCAGGATCAGTATGACAAACAAGCTGCCTTTTGTTGCCCTGGCTGACCTACAAAAGAGACAAGATCTGAATTTCCATCCCTAAAATGCTGGTGTTGGACAAGGACAGGTAACACATGAAGGAAGTGCTCAAAAGACAGGCCCAGACAGGCCCACTCAGGGAGAGCAGACCCAGCCTCCCTACCGACAGGACAGACCCGGAAGTACCTGTAATACACATGTGCACACAGAAAGAACACAGCACCGTGGTCTCTCTCCTCTCAGCCAGCAAGCACTGCCAATTAGTGCCTTTGAGAAATCACACTTCACAGTCACCACCCGGCTCTCCCTTCTTAAAACAAGGGAAGGGTACTGCTTTGCTTTGGTCCCACACTTCCATAGTTCCCCAAAACATCCTCCTAGAGAAGTGAGAGGGATATAGGAGGAATGGTGGGGGGCTCCCCCTGACAGATATGACCAATCACAACACCAGTGCTAAGCTCAACTGCTCCTGGAACCTTCTGGTACCTGCTACCTTCATTAGATGGCTACAGCATGGCCTGGCCAGCTTTCTGTCAATAGCCATAGTGTGAGGATGACCAGGCAGCAGCCGGGAACAATCCCAACCATGCTACCCCAAGACTCCGGAACTGCAATACCATGAGCAGCTTCTGCCAGGCTGCACACCAAAGGAGAACAATAGATAGTGCTGCTCTTGAAGAAGTGACTGCCACCCTGGGGGTCATGGGGTTACCCAGGATCCAGGGGCTTCCTTGAGAAACCACTAAATTCAGCCAGGCGTACAGGTACGAGCCTACAATCCTAGCACTCAGAAGGTGGAGGCAGGAGAATCAGGAGTTCAAGGTCATTTTCAGCTACATAGTGAGGTTGAGGTAGGTCTAGCCTACCTGAAACCCTGTCTCAGAAAACAAACAACAACCCTACTTGGGCTGTCGAAATGGCTCCTCAGGTAAGGGTGCTTGCCACCAAGCTGACAGCCAGAGTTCACTTAGTACCTACCCACTTAGTAGGAGAAAACATTCTCACAAGTTGTCCTCTAATCACCATACGGGAGCCTAGTGCTCACCCGCGCGCGCGCGCGCACACACACACACACACACACACAAATAAAAATTTGAAAAAAAATGCCAGGCATAGTGGTACACACCTTTAATCCCAGCACTTGGGAGGCAGAGGCAGGCAGATCTCTGTGAGTTTGAGGCCAGCCTGGTCTACAGATAGTGTTCCAGGACAGCCAGGGCTACACAGTGAGACCCTGTCTCGAAAACAACAAGTTAGCTGACCTGACCCCCTCTTCTCATCCCACCAGGATCTCATCAAGAGGCTAAATAAGTCAGTTCTTTACACTCAGAGGGACCCAAAAGGGCTCTGAGGCTTTAGCCTGACTTATTCTGAAGACCACACTCACTTTTACCTGGGCAGTAGACCCTACTTCCAGTAATCCATGCCCAATCCAGGTGCTACCCAGGGTGGATACCAGTCAGACTCGTTTCTGCTGCCAGTGCATGGGGAGGGGGCGCTTCTTTGCCTAAGGCCCCCCTTCTCTACAGGGCCCAAAGGCCTATAGAGAAGCTCCTGCTGAACGTCAGGAAACTGTCCTGTTTTTCTTCCCTTCATCTTTCATGAAATTCCCGAGGACACAGCTCCCAAGGGAACTGAACCACCAGGAAAGAGGTCAAAGACTGCGTTCTTCCAGGAGGAAAATCAAAACTGTACATTTTATTCCTGAATTCTTAATCAGCAGGGCCAAGGACAAGCATCTTTCTTTGCCAAGGTAAACACCACTCAGAACTGCAGCTGAAGTGATGCAAGGGCCAAAGCAAACAGCAGAGCTGTGTGGCGGTGACACTGAACAGAGCCACATCAGCCGTCCCGAGAGGTACTGCCAGTATGTCTGCAAGCACAGGAACAGCCCCTAGTAGGTAGTCAACCACCACATGTCCCAGGAGAAGACAGCCTGGCAGACTGGCTGGACCGGCCTAGAGCTGCATACTGGTAGCTCTGGCTCTCCTGATTGTGCCTCTGTGTGGGCTGGGCATCTCGTGGCCCGCATGCCAAAACTGCCTAGCCTGTACTACAGCCACCACACATTGTGGACTCCTTAGTGACAAAAAACAAAATGAGAACTGAGCACAGGAGTCAAAGAGTCAGTAGTTAGGTCCTCAGAGGGTACCTAACCTGCCTACATGGCAGGAAAGTCCTTCAGACATCTGCAGCCTACCTGTGTCCAACACCTCAGAACTGATGAAGATTTTATCGCCACATGTTCACCGGGAGGAAGTGCCAACCACTGCCCCAAACAGCAAACGACCCACATGGAGTCCGTGAGTCCCCAGCCTGCTAGCCTGCAGCCACTGCTAGATGGCCCCAAGTGCCAAGATCCGGATGAATTATAGTAGCATGTGGGTGAAGGCAAAGGCTGACTGCCCAGGTGTGAGCTTTAAGGTGGGATTCTCTGGGGCAAAGCTAACCCTCACACCCTGCAGGACTCTCCACAGGGAGGTTCCTGTTTAATGGTTTCAGTGAAGGAGCAGGAAAAATGGGGAGGGGGGCAGATCATGACCAGCACCCCTCTCCCATCCCTACAGTGAAGAGCAAACTGTAATGGAACTAATGACTAATAATTTAATAAGCCTCCCTCCCCTGACAGCATGTGCTTCCACAGAGCAACAAGAGGGAGTCTGATACTAAACACAAAAACCCAAAGGCTGTTCTGAATCCTGTTTGCCTGCAGCAAGAACATGGCAAAGGGCTCCTTCAGCCCCCACCCACCTCCAGGATTCCTCCACACTCATGTAACTACAACTTTAAAGCCTTTATTAAATGATGAATTAAAGTACAATCTGCCCACTGGACTCCAGCTGAAACCTAAGGGGCCACCCTAGAAGCGTCCATCTGCTCCCAGCATCGTGGTGAGCACAGCTAAGAGTGCTTCACAGGCCACTGCCGAGAAAGGCGCAGCCATGGTTGGTTCATACAAGCAGAAACTGTTGCTCTAGAGCAGGCACAATCTCATTCAGCCATGAACCAGCAACTCCATGTAAAAAAAAAAAAAAAAAAAAAAAAAAAAAAAAAAGCCAGTGACTATAATCTCAAGCCTTTCACTAACCCTTCACACACAGTTTTGAAATAAAGCATAGCTTTGTAAGAGGGCTGCCATGGACCGGTCAGGGCAGGGATTTCTCTCTTGAGAAAAAAAAAAAAATGTCACTGGGAACTGCAGTGGGCCCGGTGCCATCAGGGAGCCCCAGGTTGCGGTGTGGGGCCAGGACTAGGAGAGCCCACACTGAAGAAACGGGAAGCGGTCCAGTCCACATTACCCAAGGCAGACATAACACAACAGCAGGGGGCTTCCAGAGGGGGCTTGAAGAAGGCGCTGCAGTTCTCCTAGGAGAAACTGTCATTTCACAGATGATGTGAATGCGACTCTTAACACATATCAGAAGCAAAAGCGGGCGCGTCAGCCTCCTACACAATTAGTCTTCTCCCTCTGCGGTTACATAAGATGACGGATTATCTGTCCACCCATCCAACCTGCCCGCGCTCGACCTCCCACTTTGGGCCACGTCCATTAACGCCCGTAAAGGAGTTGTGGAATAGGAAAGCCTGTTGACGAGAAAGTGCCCAGAGGCTGGCATCACAGCGCCTAGGAGAGCCCCGCGGTGCCACCGCGCCAAGCAAGCGCAGGGCGACCGACCGCTGCAGTCTGCAACCCCCACGCCGCCCCCGCTCCCTGTTCCCTCACTCCGGGGTGCAGCGGACCAGACCGGGTGGCAGAGCAGCCCAGGCCCGCACCGCTCGGTCCCTCCGGACGCCGGGGCAGACAGGCGTACTGAGGGGAGCG